TACTTGAAAAAAATAAATAAATAAATAAACTGCATCATTTATCGCTAACTGTTCAAAAGAGTTTGCTTCTGCTGTCAAGGTGACGGATATTTTCCACATAGTTTGCAAGTCACCGTTTTTAGTCAAAGCAGTGTTGAATTTACCAAATGCAACATTTGAAGCTTTGGCCCCTTTTTTTTAAAGTCGTCTAATTTGTCGATATAATTTATTGCATCGACAATTTCCATATTTTGTTTTTGTAAGGATTTACTATTTGAAATAATGATCCTGAAATTGAATCGGAAGTATGTAGGTTTTCTTCATTTTTGTCTGTGGAGAATGTGCGTGTGTGTGCCATTAAAATAGAAGCAGGACTGGGGAGGGATAATGTCTGAAAGGTAATCTTAATGGTCGTTTGAAACGGTTCTGGTTTTTTACGCTATTGTTGAGCGTGCAGTCTAGCAGTCTGTTGTACACTTACTTCTATTAACCCATTTTTTTAAATCTCTTTATTAGGCATAATTTTCTTCTCACTTAAGCCGTATACAATTTAATTCAACAGCAAAATTACAAAAATTTTAATAGCAGCATACGTTACATGGAATGCATTTTTCTGATTCCAGCCCGGTCTTTTCTCAGTTTATCATATAAATGTTCAGTTTTCTTATTAAGCAGGCTTTACAAAACTTTATTTTTTTGGCATTAGCGTTTTGTTGTGTTTACTTTATTTATTAAATATCACGTTCTTGGCGCTTACGTCACATAAAATTCGATTAGGCAGCGAAATTACAAAATGTTTAAAAACGGCAGTCTCGCGCGCTGAAGATAACAATTTTTTTTTTTTTTTTTTTTTTCGGTACAGTGTTGCCACTGCTCGCTTTGAAATCGTTCAGTTTGTTAATCAAAAATTCCTTGAAGTTTTGCAAAATATGAAATAGATAATAAAACAAATTGAAATTTCAAAATTCGAGCTTCCAGATGCCCATGTTCAGGTGGAGGACTACGTTATTCAGAATTGGATGGCTCTAGGTACCTTTGTTTTTTCACAATATGAAAAACATGCATACAGTTATGCAGATTCTTCATTATTTAATGTTTTTTTTTATTTAATAAAGGGCGATAATATTTGGTGCCAACAATTTGAAAAGTGATTCGTCGTTTATAGTGATTCAACACAAAATGCCGTTTCGAGACTAATATCCCATTCTGGACTGGCGTCTCTTTTGGGCTTTATAAAAAAATCGAGAAAAGAAAACGTATTGCTCACAGCTGTGATTATTTGATTCCAAAAATGTATCTGTGGAATATATTTTTCATCTCTACATGTGTTGTTGTTCTTGACTAATGCTCACTTGTCAGCCCAAGCCCACGAAACTCCTCGTGGCAAGGAGCGCAATATATGCCTGTCGTTACAGGTGATAGTGCGATTTAGCTTAGTTCCGCCCCCAATTTTGATAGAGAGCACCCCGAAGGGACGGTTCCGAGGGTCTCTCACCCCTCTTCCACTATCACCAACCTCTCGAGAGCACTTTCGGCTTGCCGTATATTTATAGTGCCCCCATGCCGCACGGACACTATACGTTTACAAACATCCATGCCTTCTCCGGGATTCAAAGCCGCGCCCTTGGCACGGAAGTAACCACTATACCGGTTATAAGCGTGCAGAGCAATAACCGGTAACCACTATACCGGTTATTACATGCAGAGTGGCCGCTCTACATGCAATTCTTTGGAATTGATCATGCGCAAGATTTTTTAAAGAATAAATAAATGCTGGTATAGAAAAATTCTCAGAAGTCACATTGGTGTTTTGATAAATGGAACTAACAAATTTTACAATCAGTTCTGTGGATTAGGCATGCCTGCCTTGTAAAAATGAGTTCATTGGAGTTCAGACTTATATTTCAAAGGTAACTCTATTTTTATGCGTGATTACTAGACTATGTCCCAAAATGCCCTGAAATGTTTTAAAAATGTTTTAAAAAAGGAAAATATTCAAAAACTGCATATGTTATCGAAATACGGACCTTAATTATAATATAAGTAATTCTTCTGTCCTGTGTTTTTTAACTCCCCTCAAATTAATCGCGGTTTTTTAAATTAATCTTTGGCATGTTGCCGGTAATCTCCCGATTATTCGTGCATCGATTGTATTTTAAGTTTTGATTTTTAAAGAAAATTAAATGAACATGAAACGTAAATTCATTTAATAGTATCTTGGAATTAGATTATAACAAATTATATTTATAATGAGAATAATTTAACCTTTCAATAAGTTCTAATACAAAACAATTGATTTATACGATAATATAATATAGTTCCAGTTGCGTGAAGTTACGCCTCACTCGTCGGTTTGGTTAGAAAAATGCTTTCGTTGTGCTCTTTGTTCTCGAGCATTAATGAACGAATGCATTATGAATGATAGGCGAAACACGTTTAGCGATGATAACAGCTCACAATAGCTTCTCTCCAGTGAAACGCTGTGTTGTGTGGATGGCAGTTCTGATCCTAAGACTAAAATATGCAATAATTGGTGAGGTGGGCCTTTTTACCTGCATTGCCTATAAATAAAGGACGGTAACGGACTCTAAAAATGTTCGCATCGAGTGTGTTATGCGAAAAAGTATTTGTTTCGGCTCTTTTTTAAGCAAGTAACTTGAAACAGTATTCTAAAACTAGCGGGCCGCATATAGCGCCGAAGCAATTTTACATGGCGCGCGAATACATTTCAGTTATGTATTTATTGCAAATACGGTGTTCCGAAGGTTTTTTTAGATTTTAATTATTTAAAGTCCGAGTTTACATTATTTTCATTTTTATTAAAAAGCGAACATGAATAATTTGTCATAAAATGTATAAAGGGAGCTAATTAATTTACTGTTTGATATAAATCTTATTCAAATATTTGAAAAATATGTATTTTATTAGTTTTATTCATATTTTTCAAAAATTAAATGCGAATTTTTGGACTAAGAATAATCGTTTCGTTTGGGTGCGCATTATATATGAACAGTTTTTCCCCACAGAATTAATTATATTGAAAATTAATAATAATAATTAAATACTGAAAATTAATAAGAAAAGAAATTGCTTGACCGGTAAGCTTCTACAATTTTTGCTGAAGATCATTTCTAGTAATTTTTCTCCAAGGGTTACAAACTTTATCCGAATCGAAACGACATCAAATGGCAAGCTACAGTAAGAAATAAAGATGTCTGTAACTATTTACGTACAAACATATGTACTTTTATTGAGTCGTTGAAAAAAATTTAATAAATAAGAGAAAAAGACTAGATTGTCATTACTTATTCTCAAAGTTTGTCCCACTTGCCCCATTTTCTCTAAAAACGTTTGAAGTTTTAGTAATTTGTTTATTTGTAGTTTGAAAAAAGAAGTTATTTAAAAATCCAGTAATCTTATTAGAATTATTTTAAACAAATGTCACTCTGAAAATTTAATTCTGAGCTGTCAATACATTTGAATTACGAAGTGTAACCAACAAAAGTGTCTTGCAGTTACCGAACTTCAGATTTCAGATAGAAAATGAAAATAAATTTGATTTTTTTAGTTGTTATATTATTATTGCTATATAACCATGTTTTGATAAATATTTAGTGAGCGAAATTAAAAATATAATTAAAATATTTTTTTTTATTTTGTTAATAAAAATTTTTCATTTATTAAAAGGGGGACATTCCTGGCCCTTCAGCTGTTTTAGATTGTACATTCTACTCGCATGCATAATTTACAAGTGCACATCAGTATCGCCACTGAGGGAGGGGTTTCAATAATGGACCAATAAGCTTCTATTGCTCTTGTGACACTGAATCTTTGAAACTTTGTATATGAGCGTTTGTTGTTGTTTACGTTTTCTTTTGCATTTGTTTCCCAATTATAAATGTATAGCGTATAAATGCTGCTTTCATTTTAGTAGAAAATCTCGTTTTATAAGTTTATTTAATCATCGACATTTCACTTTCCCGAAATTTATCACGCATTTTTTATATACGGATTAGTGTCCGGGCATATTATCGCTCTTTATATCGAGAAAGTGACTCAAGGTACAATTAGCCTCGAATATTATTCGCTTACACGGGGATTAAAAGAACTTAAGTGTACAATTTTTTTTATTAAGCTGAGAATAATTGGAAATGTTACAACGAATCGTGTATTTTCTTATCTCAATGCTTGCATTCCTTTAATTTTGAAAATGCAAGAGTCAAATTCAAAGTATATATTGTGAATGATCTGATTATATCTATTGTTAACATTAAAAGTTACATATGAATAAATTAAAAATATTCCTTGTGAATAAGATATATCCATTCTGTTTGAACAGTATTTCAAACATTTAAGGCAATACATTTAAGGTTTAAGAGTGAACCTTATTAATGGGAAATTTAACACACTAATGTGTAGGAATGCAAATGAGGAAAATTCACGTTGAATAAAACTGTACATTGTCTATTATTATACAACATACTTTTTATATAGACTGCTATAAAAAGTGGTAAGACTTCTACTATTTGCATATACGTATTTAATCTAACTTCGCACTGAAAATTTTCACAAGAAATCCACAGTGCATTAATTATTTTGTACAGGAAATTGCGTTGCAAAACATTTTCAACCATCTTCCTTAAAGCTCGGCAAAGCTCATGTTAAATACCAGGAATATTACTGGATGCCTATTGGTCCATTCTAGAAACCATTTCCTCGGTGGCTATACTAATGTGCACTTACGAAATATGCTCACGGACTCGAATCGGTATCATTTTAATAAAGATGCTTGTCTGAAGTTTTGTATAATAAAGCGAATGTCTTAGTATCTGTTAAAAACATTTAGGCAACCCAATTCTTCAAACGGGTTCTTATTGCCTTCTTGCTTCTCAAAGATCCCTTACTACGCTTAGGACAAGTAACGTCTCCCAATATCGCTTCAGAACCAATCGACGAGTATCGTACAAGACGAGAAATTATAGTTTTGAAGTTTCTCCTAACTTAAATTTTTTTCTTTGAAGGTTCCTGAATCTGGTTGCTCGTCTGGCAAAGAAGGAAGAAGGCAAACCGAAAACGAGGCGAGTCTTCACACTGCCCATCTTCGAGGTGAAGAAAGAGTTTCCAGCCCCGAAGACGAAGGAAGAACTAGTAAAAAGAGTGCGTGAAGGACATGCCATTTTCTTCCACAAGTGGGTATGCGACGCATGCCAGAATTTTCCCAGGTAGGTTGGATTTTTTAATTTTTTTTTTCTATTTAGATTTGTGTATATTTTTCTTATTGATTTGGCAGATTTTCATTCCATTGGGTATCACGGTATTTTTTCATGTTATTCTCTTTTTTATCTCTTATTTTACCCTCTGAAAATTGAGACATGAAAATTACGCGGTCCTATATGCATGTAAATCATAAGAGAGAGGATAAAGGGAAAAAAATCACACGTCTAGTAAGCGCATATGAATTAAAGCTATTTGTTGGAAAATATTGAGGAATAAAAGTAGAAAGGAAACGTCTATGTCTTTTAGGAGCTCAGAGTCCACGTCCAAAATCGGGATCGCAGCGAAATTACTACACAAACGTGCTGGTTCTTCGTTCTCAACTCTTGATTGCATGGGTTAGATTTCGGTTTAAGCACTAGTCGTCTTTGCTAAAACTTTGGTTCCGGTCTTAAATCTTTCTTAATAAGTTCAACTCGGAATGAAACTGCGACCTTCCGGCAGTTTTCGCCAACTTGACTCTGCAACCGATGATTTAGAAACGCCATTTACTCTTTCAGGAAAATCTTTCGTGGCCGGCAACAAAATATTCTCAATGACGAGGAGCTAAGTCCGTAGAGAAGGCACGCCCGTAGATCGCAAATCGTCATCTTGATATGCCGCTTAGCCATGCTTTTCCCATGTATCAGATATTTATAACATTGGTTTTCATCCCCGCGGCTAACAGAAATCACAGTACTACTACTATCTTATTAGTTATTTTGACATATTTTTGTAATCCCCACACTCCACTATGTGTAAAAGTAGACTTTATGATAATTCTCAGCTTGTAGATCTGTCCTCGTTTTCGGGGAAATTATTTTTCTTCTGGAACATTTTGTTTGACAGCTATAATAATTTATTGGTTATTTTATTTATTTATTTTTGTTCCTGTTTCCTGATGGCCTTCTATAGTGCTCCGACACTTCTAATTTTGGAAAGTAAGCGCTGTGTAGGAGGTATTGGCCACGCTCGTTTATCCTTCCTTCATTGTCTTAATGAGCCCTTTTCTTACAGAAGCTTCATTCATTGCACTATCATTACAAACTTTGTTTGATTTGTCTATAGATCTCGATAAGCCGAATATTTTGCGCTATGAGAAATCGAATAACGCGCCGGATTTCACACTTTGTGTGATTTCTATCGTTAGGGTCATTTGAAAGAAAATTGCCAGCAACTGAAACTTGACTGCACATGAAGGAAATTTCATATTGATTGAGGTAATGGTTTGCTATAACTGAGGCAGGTCGTTATGCATGATGTGTAAATAAATGTAAATAAACGTAATTGTTTCTACTGTTGCAGGAGAGAGATGTAACTGGCTAGAGTCAGCGAACTAAGTACACACCACAAGGATGTTCAGGAAGATTTTTCTAACCTTTTGGCCAATCCTCGAAGTCATATGCTATTTTTTAACGTTACGCGGATTCCTGCTACATATATTAATTTCTTTAACAATGAAGACTTTATTCGACCAATAAAACCCATGGACTAAGATCATAACAGTATTATTGTACGCATTTATGCGCATTGAATGAAGACTTTCTTAAATTCTTTGCTTTAAATTTGTTTAATATTATGCTGTAGCTAAAAATCCCTATTAGAATGGGATTATTTCTCGTTAAGTAAGCCATTACGATGCATCTTCTGATTGCCAGATGCTTTCCATCTAATTATGCAAATGTCTCGCATCTTCGATGGCAACGATTGAAAAAGAATTTCAGATTTTTTTCTTTCTTTAAATATTCACAAATCGAACCAACTCCCATCTCAGCAGTCATAAAGTTTCGTTATCTAGCCATAAAGCTACTTTAACGAGAAACTAATGTCTCTTTTATTGATTGAAAGAATAGGTTAATCGTCCTTTGATCGTGTCATCGAATTCAAGGACGTAACAGGGCAAACATATCGACGGAGTTAGACACTTCTTTTTTCTCTTTTCTTTCAAGTCGATTTGTTGAGATGAAATTAGAAACATCAGTTAATTCCTATAATAATATAATTCTTTGTAGTAAGTATTTTAGAATGTCGTAACCATCCATTACTCGCAGTACAGTTTTCTTAAATATTGACGGCTCTTGAGCTCATGGATCTGGTCTAGCCTAATGGCTAACCAGTTAGGATCAGTAAGAACAACAACACAGTTTTTTTTTTTATCGCAAATGCAACTGATGTCATTTAAAAGAAAGTTGATGTGTCATCAGATGACTTCCTTGTACGGAATATTAAATTATACGCATTTTTTCCTACATTTCATTTAAACTTATTTCCTCGAATTTCATTAGAGATATATTTCTCATTCAATGAATTCGGTTCTCACTTTCGCGGGAAGGCAAAAATACATAAAAACTCAAAATATTTTCAATAAAAACTGAAAGATACAGAAAAACATAAAACATCAAATACAGTTAAAACAATTAAAATAACAATTTTTATAATTCAAATTACAGTTTTTCTTCGCAAAAACAAGCAATTCGGCCAGCAGGCAACAAGACAGATTTTTCGGTGCACAAAACTGAAAATTTACTTTTAGTCCCACTCTGCAAAAAGATACTTAAGGTTCAGAAAGACTTAATTCACTAATCTGCTAAGTTTTAAATGTAAACAAATGTAGCTACTATGGTAAAACATTTAGGCTTAGAAGCACTTAAAAAACTTTTAAATTGTTGATAATTCTACAACTATTGCATGCAGATTGACTGAAAGCATAAAAACCTTAACCGGAAGATAAGAACAGCATAATTCAATCATTTTTAAAGCAGAAAATGCACAATTTACCAGCATATAAAAATAAAGAAACTGAGCTCAATGTGCCGAGTAATAGAGTGTATTATATGTATATATGTATATACACTTTTGGTGTACTACTCTCTGTATATATATATATACATATTATTTTGGTGTGTCCGATTGCAACTAAAAAGGGAGTACATATTATAGCAGTCCTATATACGAAATTTCAACGTTCGGAGGCTACTCTTTTATGAGTTTTATGACATATATATGTACGTTCAGACGCCACGAAAAATTCTGTTTTGAATCCGTTTTAAATCAGTTTTATAATTCGTTTGATGGAAAAAGAGTCCTTTATTCTGTCTTTACGTACAGATGTCACGGAAAAACATCGTTAAATTCCATTCGCTAGCTGTCAAAATGGATATTTTCATTGAAATATGGTACCCGGAAATTTTCGTGATTACAATACCTTCCTTTACTTCGTATATGGAAGTAAAAATGGTAACAATGAGAGTTTTTCTATGGGATTTGATTTACTTTCACTACTTCTTAATTTTATACTTTTGAAACATTTTCTGGAAAATTTTGACAGCATAAATTTGGCTTCGATGTATTGTTTGTTGTAAGAAAATGCACTTATTCCGGGAAGAAGATATTAGGATGGATAGCTAATAAACAGAGAATGTGTTGAATAAAAATAAAGCAATAACGATAACTCCATCGCAGTAATTGTTCTCTTCTTTCTAACTACTATTTATGTACAATGATTCCTATTAAAAACTTGATTATTAGTCGATATCGCTGAATGTTAAAAACAGGAGAATCAAAAAGATAATATAAATGATTAAATTCTTTCCAAAATGTTATTTTAGAAGTATAAAAATATTATTCTGCTAAAACCGTTTAACGTCAATAACATGCTGAGACTTAATCAGCTTCCCGGATGTAGTCATTGGTCGCGAAATTCTCGGAGAATAACAATCTTAACTCAAAAGATTCGATTCTGGGTTTCTTAAGTAAGGAAATGGTATCAAAGGAAGTTCTTATCTAGGAGTATATTCTGTTTCTTTTGAGTAAGGAAATAGAATTCATGGAAATGTTAATCGTTTTCTTCCTACCTGAACCTCTGACGAAAGGTAAATGTAATGTTTAACTAACAGGATTGAAAATGGTTTTTAGTTCAGAAGTACTCCTTGCTAAGATATAAAGGATTCGTTTAATGTAAAAAAATTACAAAACTATACGATAGTAAATAATTATGTCATATATACCAAGAAAAGTGACTCGTCATGGCAAAACATTGAATAAAATCGACTCTACTCTAAGAACTTCTTCCGAGGAGGGCAACTACATAAAATTATGAAATGAAAATCTCTATCATTTATTTGAATATTATTGAGGTTTACATTACGAGACTAGTCTTTAATTATATTTCATCATTTTACTTCCATGAATGACGCCAAACACTTATTGTGTTTCATCTTTTTCTATATCTGGTGAGACAAAATTTTGTTTATGTTTCATCTTTCCTGCTCCAGGCGCGACCAGTGGTTGAAGAGTCTTCCCGAAAGTGACGGAGATGATAGCCTGGGAGTGTTCGAAGTGACGAAGCGTCAGATGCCCCGCACTGCCTGGGAACCCATATACATCGGCACCAACGACGAGCCGCTCTACGACGAGCGCCTTACTTGGGAGGGCAAGCGAGACAAGATGTCGCAGGTAACTTTATTTTTCCTTTCTATCTATCGGTATTTCCAGTGTATATGCCTAGGATTTAGGCAAAGAGAATTGGTCGTTGTCCAAAATGGTTGCGAAGTATTGAGACCGGAGAGACATGTTTTTAATGCAATATAGTTTCCGTCCATTGTGAGAAACGAATGAAATGAGTGTTTGTAAAGAGAAACATCGAGAAAAGAATATCTCCTGGAAGGGCTAACAGCAACACTGATACAGCAGTATTAGTATGGATTGGAAATCTTCGAAAATGACGATATTATTATGCATTGTTCTTCAGTTTGAAGATCAGATTTTTGATAGCATTAGCTGTAATACCGTTGACATATATTTCGTCGACACAATTTGCTGCACCAAAGCACCACCCAACCCTCAAATAATATCTTTTATCAATAGTTTGCCCGGTTGTTAGGAATTTTTTATGCACAGCACTACGACAACCAAAACATACACTTAATTACTTTGATTTTGATATGAACACTTTGATTTGGCTTCATCTCGAGAATGCATTCTTCACCTTTTGAATGCCATTTGACTACGTTGTTGAGATTTTTTCTGTATTCAGAGCGTTGATCCACGTTTCGCCACTGGTAATAATGCATTTTTAGGAAGGATTCATTTTGAAGAAGCCTAACCTGAACCATCTGAATTCGTTGTAATTTTTGGAACAACTTAAGAAGCGACGGGACGCAAACATAAATGATCTTCTAAAATTTCTTGACAGGATTCAAATGGTATAGGTTAGTTTGGTTTATTTCATTACGGCAAAGCACTCAGGGCTATCTACCTAAAGGCAGGGATGCCTTATTGGAGAAATTTCTAAGGAAAACTGGCTCGTACTATTCTGTCTTTACGTACAGATGTCACGGAAAAACATCGTTAAATTCCATTCGCTAGCTGTCAAAATGGATATTTTCATTGAAATATGGTACCCGGAAATTTTCGTGATTACAATACTTCCTTTACTTCGTATATGGAAGTAAAAATGGTAACAATGAGAGTTTTTCTATGGGATTTGATTTACTTTCACTACTTCTTAATTTTATACTTTTGAAACATTTTCTGGAAAATTTTGACAGCATAAATTTGGCTTCGATGTATTGTTTGTTGTAAGAAAATGCACTTATTCCGGGAAGAAGATATTACGCATGAAGAATTTATTACGCATGGGGAAAACCACGAAAATGCCCATGCAACCAGCCCATTTGCGGAATTCGAACCTCGAACCGAACTATCAGTGTTTAGCAACTTTACTATTCGGTCGCTGGTGGGATCAAACGGTATAGAAGTTTGTTCGATAATATATTGGTAGGATAAGCAAAGAACGCTAAAATCTCTGGTCGATGGACATGTTGCCCTCAACACATGGCATTTATTTTGTTACAGCATTTCAAATATTTTTGTAGCAAAAGTTCGATTGCGCATGGAAAACTTGATGCAAGTTCTTCGTTCAGATATTACGTTTACCCTCCGAGGAAATCGACAAGGCAAAAATTCTTCAGCATTTTTGGCACGGGCGTTATTCTAATTGAAACGTCCCTAATCCTTTTTGATCACAGTAATAGAAAAGATTTTTCTTTTAATAAGCTTGAATATATTGTTTTTTCTTTTTCTTTTACAGATGTATGAATTGTGCCTCCTGGATTATGACTTTTACATCTTGGATAATGCATTCCTTGTCCATGCTCCAGGTATCAAAACCCTCAGCAGTGTGGACCAGCGACGGCGTGCTCCTTTTATGTACAAAAACAATGCAGTGCATAACAAGCTCCTGGCCCAAATGAAGAAGAAGTATGGACCAAGGAAAGGCTGCTGACGAAATCGGTAGCTAAAAGACTCGTTTTCTAGTCATTCCTCTGTGATCTCCTGACTTGAAAAGTGTTGTACTTGTCCCAACGCCTGGTGCAACATTTGTGAACCAAGGATAGTGGGCTGGACAAAAAGGATTGCTATCGTACAACTGGCATGTGCATCTGTATTTATGAATATTTATAAGAAAACTTATAAGAAGACGTCGATTTATATCGAAATGGAAATAGGGACGTGAGTTTTGTTTCGCGTTTTGTTGTTGGAATGGATTTGAAGTTCCATATTGTTAAGCTGGTTGGTACTCTGGATGGAAGACTGAACTGCAGCCGACTGAAAATATATATTGGCTGGAAACTGAGAAGCTTATATTTGATTTAACGAATGATTTATGTTCTCTTGCTATATGGTGTTATTTTTTGAAGTTTTGGTACTTCGTCATGTTCTGGTGGCTTCGTTTAGAATTTGCCTTCTGAATGCTAAAGTGGTACTGGACTTTTCGATTAAGGCAATACTAATTGCTTTGCAAAGTATTACATCAAAGGCAAAGCGTATATGAGCTAAGAAGAGGTAAGCGTTTTTTGGATAAACTATGCAGACTGAGAAAACCGAATTTAAATTTGCATTAAGTGATACACTGCAATGTCTTGCGCTGTTGCTACGTTAAATTTATATTTTGTTGTTTCGTCACTTGTTACGTTGCAGTAAGGGCATATGCGATGATAAATATGCTTTTCCTGGCATCCAGTGCAAAAAGTGTTCCTCATTTTATTCTGTTATTGCAGTATCTGTTTCGAACAATTTAGGCACTGCGTAAATTTATTGTACTGCATACAAAGTTTTAGCTGTTTCAACAGCTAAATATTTTGTTTAGCCCTTCAGTTTGTTTTTATATACCATCTAAGAACATGTCTTGCTGTAATTAAAGTATTATTTATTGCTTGTAGTAAGTGTTGTTTAATTGTATTGTCAGCTTTCAAATTTCATCAGCCTGTACTAGTTTACTTTGCTATTTGGTAAGGGAAAGCTAACATGAGTTCAATTAGTGATACAAATTAAAAACACATACATTTAATTCAAGAACTGGACGTGGTCGGAGTGATTATTTTTTAAAATTATTTTTAATTTTTATGCTTATGAATAAATATAAAACATGAGTGAAAATTTAGATTTTATTAGATTTTGCACCTTCCTGTGTCTCCATAGCAACCGATAACGTAGCAGAAGCGGGTCAGTCACCCCTTTTTTTGGAGGGGGGGTGTCCTGAATGCAGATTCCTTCTTCAGTCCTTTTGATTCACACCCGAAATCAGTATCTACGGAACAGAATCTACTATTTTATTTTTTGCCGTCAAGCTGTAAAAATTTAAAGATAACCTCCTTTTCATTTTAGTGCATTTTATACAAAGGCTGTACATAAGCTGGAACGTAAATACCAGAAGTGAAATGAAATCACATGATTGGAAAGTTTGTGAACATCTGCACGTCCGTGTAGCTTAACGAAGAATCTGCACAAAATAATTTCATATAAACGCAGTGTAAAATAAATTGGATGAAATGTAAGTAAAATTCAATTAAATTGAAATTCAATTCAATTAAAATGAAAAAAAAATCTGGAAGCTCTTAGATTTTATATTACGCCTAAACAGACTTTTTCCCCCCTCTTTTTACAGACATAAAAACGTTTCGATAGCATTTGAAGTAACACAATATTGTGCTAGATATATTTCAAAACAGCATACCTTTAGAATTTCTGATAAACAGTCACGCGCGCTGGAGATAAAAATGTTTTATTCCGTACAGTGTTCCCACTGCTCACTTTGAAATTGTTGAATTTTTTAATCAAAATTAGTTAAAGGTTTACAAAATATGAAATGCACAATAAAACAAATTCCATATTTGGGCTTTCAGGTGCCCATGTTCGGGTGGAGCACCATTTTATACAAAATTTGATGACTCTAGGTACCGTTGTTTTTTCACAATGCGAGAAATATACTTACATTCATGTAGATTAACCATTATTTAATTTCTTTAAATATAATACAGAGTGATAATATTTGGTGGCAACAATTTGAAAAGCAGTTCGGACATTTAAGGTGTTTCGATGCAAAATGCAGCTTTGAGGCTAATAGAGCTTCTGGGTTAAAAATAATCAAGGGAATAAAATTTACCAATAAACTAGCTCTTAGAGGGAAAAAAAAAACTATGTAAAACAGAGTAAGAGAAAATTTAGGCGAATATTTTTGAAATCTTCAGAACCTACCGCTAAAAAGCTAGGGGATACTTGATGAAATGCGACATTACGCTTTACGAAATGGCAACACTTAGCACGGAAGGAAAAAATATTTTATTTCCCGCAGCGGGAATACATTTCTTTTAAATCTTCGGATTTATTGATTACATTGGATTGGAATGGTGCAGTCACCAGGGCGCTTGCGCTAAAAACACTACTCCTGTTGAATAATTTGTTTTTCTGAATCATGTCAGTTCAAAGAATATGTATTGTGATAAATCCTTGAGTCCAAACCATTGGAGATTTCATAGGGTTTATATTTTAATAGTAGACATAAACAATAAAAGCAAGCAAGGCAACTGATAGTTGCTGCCCTTAGGACTCACTTCCATTAAGGATTTACATCATATCATATATTGATCATAGTTGCTGGATGCATTAATTATTAGTAAAGGAAAATATTCCAAGAAATTTCTTGGCTAACTTATAGTACATACCTCTATGCTTCACAACGTTTAGTTCTTCCTGTATTTTATTGTTACGAATGTACCAAGGTGCGATGCATGTTTGTCTAAGACCAATATTTTGTGGAGTACGCAGTCGCTTAGGATTAGTGAGGCTTCAGTACTCCCAGGCAGGATTTTGTTGATTAAATATGAAAGAAAAATATCTTAAGCTTTGTTGGGTGGCAACACAATGTTTTAAAATCATTGAGTTTGTCAATTAAAAAATTTCTTCAAGTTAGCATAAAACATAAATTTAAAAAAAAAAAAAAAAACTTCAAAATTCCAGCTTCGAGTCGCACATGTTCAGGCGAAGGATTATGTGTATTCTAAACAATATGGTGGCTCTACATGCCGGCGTCTTGATGTCGTACGAAGAACATACATACATCAATATAAATCCTTCATTATTTATTAATACAGATTCTTATAATGATCAACCTAAAAAACACAACATCTTAGAGATCTGCGTTTTGCAAAATTTATTATTATACAGAGGGTGTTTACATATTTTTAGAACAATTTCGATAAAGAATTTTTTAAAAGAGGCAGATTCTGGAATAAAAATTTCTGGCAACAACTTATTGTTTGAAGTGAGAAATATCGTCTGTTACTTTCAAATTTATTCTTCTTTCAAAATATCGCTTGTAAATAAGCTGGGGAGATTGAAGAATATGTTTTTGCGCTTTCTGAGAAATATTTGTATTCCATAGCTCAAACATGTAAAATACATGGTATTAAAATTTCGAAATGCAAAATAAGCAGCATTGTTAAAAGGGAAAAACCGTCAGTAATTCTTTCTATGTGGAAAGAAGACACCAAAGAATATCCGAAAAATGTACGTATTGTTTCTAATATTTCTGAAGTTAAAAATCGTTGGTAACAAGAGGAAATCTGCCGACGTAGAAATCAGTTGCAAAGACTTTAAATACATCTGTAGCAACAACAAATAAAATAATAAAACAAGGTCTACTATTTCAAACAGCAACGAATTTGCTTAGCGAAACATTTTTAAGATGGCCAGGAAAATATAATGATAAAGCTTTCAAATCAATTCTGACTACTACCAAAATGTTCCTCTCGTTATGTACCAACAATTGGGACAATTAGAGCACTGATTTAATTTATACGAATTTGTTTCTGAAGTAAGGCTTAACAGCATGAATTACTCATCCTAACAAGACGACGCACCCTGTCAGCTCGCCGTCCCAAGACAGCTAAATAAAATAACGTTTATTAGCTTTTGTCTAGGCATGAGGCTTAACGTAGTCAGGATGCAGATTTATACTCCAGGAAAAGATCGAACATTGAAAAGTACTTTTTTAAACATTAATTTAAAGGCTTGTAAATTGATCTAAAAATGTGTAAACTCTCTTTATTTCATGTATGCTTCTTGTCTGAAGCAAAATATCTTACACATTATTACTACATAGTTTACAAATGTGTAATGGATATAATGGCCATAATGTCTCATCGAAACCTGGTTTTTATGATTACTTATTATTCAATTTATTATTTAAACTCGGAAGCCATTTTTTTAAAGATTTTTACATTATTAGAATAAAACATTTAATAGCATTGTTGCGTGCGTACGGGTTCGTAATAAATTGAATATAAGTCCGATGAAAAGTGAATAAAATTTATTATTATCACAAAAAATAAAATAAAATGCTTAAATTTCCTCAGATATTCGTACAATATTGCAATATCTCACAGTAGTTATATTTTAAACTACTAAACGTTCAACAGAACTTAATTCAAAACAAAGAAAGCTAATCTGATTTCACCGCGGATTCGCTACAATCATTAACAGCAATAAATAAACAACTGAATTGAGATATTTTACTCTAGCGTTTATAAGTTTTCTAAATATGCACGAGAAACTGCTCGTATTTTCTCGATTTATCTGGATATTAAAAGAGTACAATTATGAGATATCTATTATTAAAGTATTGGATGGGCGTGCTCTTGTATTTAATTTTTCCGGTGTAACTTTCTCTTCAAATAAGTCTCGTGCTTCATTGCACGGGAATATAAAACATTTTTAATAACAATTGTATTAAATACAAAATACAAAAATCGTAATAATTCAATACAAAAACCGTAATGATTCCCACTTCCCAAGGACTGCACGTCCCGGGCAGTACAATCCCTGGATTGAAGACCAAACTTACAACTAAGCCAAATCTGCAATAATAAATGTTACATTGCAAACAACATAAACCATAATTGCAGTAAGTTACAAATCAAATAAGTTCATAAATTTTACAAATTTAGAAATAAAAAGGACCATGGTCGTATACCATTCACAAAACTACTTACAATTACATACACTACGTACTATAACTATAGTAATGAGCTAACCTGTCGTAATTGAACGATTTTAGGTTTAGAGTTCGATGACTTACGGATCCGAATCACAACGTAGTTCAATCTGTTTAGGACTGTGTAAGGACCATCCCAAGGTGACTGTAATTTAGGACTGAGTCCTTTCCGTTGAATTGTGTTCCACGACCACACCTTGTCTCCTTCGTTGAATCGATGTTCAGTAGCTTTCGTGTCGTATCAGGTCTTTATCTTCTCTGTCACCAAGTTGACTCACTCTCGTGCGAAATTGTTATCTCTTCAAACCGGGCCCTCAGGATCTTGGATGTATTCCTCAGGCGATGAAGGCACATCCGGAAGGCGACAAAACAAGAGATCACAAGGCAGACGAAAGTCACGACCGATGAACATGTGGGATGGAAAGATAGCCGGTAGTCTCGCATTTCTCTTCGACCCTAGTATTGCCTAATTTCGGCAGCTTTCTGAACAGGGTGACAAGGTTTCTGAACAGCCGTCGTTCTGCAATGTCATCGACGTTTCCAGGTGAGTATCCCTTCTGATGATGGATATTTATGTCATCTGATGATGAAAGGAGTTTGCTGTTTCTGAAGTCTTAGCAAAAATTATATTTCCTTAAAACGTCCAATCCAAGTATGCAAGGATCTGTAGAATCTGTCACGTATGCAGCGTGATGGTAGGCGGCACTTACTTCCAAACGTGATGTTGCGTTTAACTTCCCATCAATGTCGATTTTATCACCAGACGCAGTCTGGAGGGCAACACAGGATGGCGTCCAAATGAGTTTATCTTTAACCTGTTCAGCTAAATCTTTCCGAATGATGATAACATTAGCTCCTGGTTCAATGATCATATTGCAAGGAACTCC